ACATAAGCCATGAAAATAGATTTGCAACAATCTCCACCTTGAGGACAAGGTGGATCTTTGAGATGGGAGTATTGTTAAACCGGTCCATTAGACCGGTCCATGTAGGGCCGACAAGGCGCGAACGAGGTGAAACGCCTCCCTCTCCTGCTTTAGCCGCATGCACCACAAGATCTAACAGAGCATATTAGGAAGGATTTTTGAGGGATTTGGGAGGGAAATTCGAATGTAGGGACTATTTAGGGAGTTCCTTTTGATTTGTATGCATTAAATACTTTGTTTTCCTATGTCTATGGCATCTTGAATTTGGCTGAAATTTGAGACCTAGATTTAGATTTTCTTTGGGCTCTAGCAGTATTTAGAGATTTGGGAGAGATCGATCCTCCTCTCTAATAGAGGATCAATTGTATCTTGATATTTTCCATTTCTATTTCATCAAATAATACAAATTATCCACTATTTTTTGTCATTTTGTGCGACTTTTTGTGGAGAATTCTCGCAGTTTTTCGAAGATTGATAGAAAATACTTGAGATCTAAAAGTGTTTCCTATCAATTTTCTCCCTGGTTCACATCTTTTTAGTTTTCTGCAATAAGAAAAAATTGCCAGAATATTCTACAACCCTCAGTTGATCAAAAACAGACAAAATAATACAAATATAAGGATCTTATCTAAAAAGTACCAAAGATTATTGTTTCATGAAGTTACATGCCCTTCATGCGTAAGAACATGACCAATCCAATATGTCTGAAAAATAGATTAAGAAAAACCAGAAAAGTAAAAGATGAATGAACACATTACATGAAACTATCAAAAAGAATTGACTTTTAAGCTAGATGAACGTGTAGGATACAAAATCAACAAGGCAGCTGTTGTTATCAAGGGCATAACAGTTGGAATGAGGTACTGTCACTGAAGCAGTAAAAGGTGAATACAAACATATGGCTATCAAGAAGAAAACAGAGATAAAAAATAAGAATGCTTAGAAAAATTTATATAAAAAATTTCATGAATAAAATAAACAACAAATAGTTCTTACATTTAAATATCATATATGCTTTGTAATGAGAATTTGATTCACTTATGCAATTAATTTCCCACCAGGGTGGTCAAAAGTCTACAAGGCTACAAACACCTTACTAAGATATAGGACCGATACACTTGACATTATTGATGTTTTAACAGGGAAAATTCAGAGCTTGGTCTATTAAACAACTGTAAATTGATTGAAACTACTTAGTATTGTCTGAAACAAGCCAATTATAAACAATTTAAAACTAAGGTGCAACTTGAGAGACTATGTTCAGCAAGTTTATCCTGTCCTAAGATAATGTTCCACCATATATTTAACTAACAATAACAATAACATTAAGTCTTTATCCCACTAAAAAAAAAGTCTTTATCCCACTACGTATGGTCAGCTACATTATCATTTTTTTTTTCATTATGTCTTGTTAATAATCAAATTCTCAATTAAATCTAATAAAGAAAAGCTTATTTGTAATAATTTCTACCCAAGTCTTTTTAGGTCTACCTCTGCCTTTCTTAATATAGGTCAAATCTAACACATCTATTCTCCTAATTGGGTCGTTTCATATAACCAAATCATCTAAGGCAACTCTCTTTAATCTTATCTGCCACTTGAGCTACTCCAACCTTTTCTTGTATATACTCGTTTCACATTCTATCTCTATTATTGAAGCCACTCATGAACCTTAGCATCTTCATCTCATCTCTACAATACTTAACTTAATTTTATGCATATCTTTTAATGGCCAACATTCTATGTTATAAGGCATTGCAATTCTTGGGTCTATTGTTCAGAGTGATGGTGAAATAGATGGAGATATTATTAGTAGAATTCAAGTTGGATGGTTGAGGTGGAGGAATGCATCGGGCTTGTTGTGTGATTAAAAAGTCCACCTCAAACTTAAGAGAAAATTATATAAGATGGTGGTGAGACCTACAATGCTTTATGTTACAGAATTTTAACCATTAAAAGAGAAGCATAATATTAAGTTAAGTGTTGCATAGATGAGGATGTTCAGGTCCATAAGTGGCTTTACTCTTAGAGATTGGATACAAAATGAGCATATACGTGAAAAAGCTATAGTAGCTCCAGTGAAAGATAAGATTAGAGAGAGTCTCCTTAGATGGTTTGGTCACATAAAACGGCAGCCTTCCGATGATCTGGTTAGGAAAGTAGATGTATTAGATTTGACTTATGTTAAGAAAGGTATCACATAAAACGGTAGCCTTCCAATGACCCGATTAGGGAAGTAGATGTATTAGATTTGACTTATGTTAAGAAAGGTATAGATATACCTAAAAAGACTTGGTTAGATCATATTAGAAATAACCTTTTTTATTAGATTTAAATGAGAATTTAACTCTTAACATGACAGAATGGAGAAAAATGATTCATGGCTTCATGCAGTCGACCCTACAGTGGGATAAATGCTTGATGTTGTTGTTGTAGTACTTTCATCATTGAAGGACACATGCCTTTCTCAATTTCCTCACATAAACCTAACACATTGCAAATGGTAAGCTAGTAATATTAGAACCAAAACAGTTCTATTGGAAGTTTGCGATCGAAGAATTATAAAATTAAGTCCAGCCAACCCTATAACTTCCTCATGTTTCATACCTCACAAGATTTTAGGCATAATATTGTCGACCGAATAAAAAAAAACCTATATATTATTAAATATTTTATTTATTCCGCTAAATCCAAATATTACAAAAGGATAATTAATCGAATATATCTATGTTTTTTGTTGCTTGAAGAATTAAGAAAAGAAATAGTTGATAATTAAAAGAGTTTCATCACTTAGATATTTATCTTAAAAGGAATAGCTAACGGAAAAGAAGAAAAAACTAAACATCTGGAAATTAAGACAACTAAGTCTTGGTACGAGTCCTAAACATGATGGGAATCAAGCAGGACACAGATTGAGATATCGAAGTATACTGAATGTATTTACCTACAAAAGCAGACCCAATCAGGCAGTAACATGATCTACTGCACAACTTATCTCCAACGTGCATCATTTCCACCAGGCCTACATGCACATATAAGAGTTTATAAGAAATAAGATATTTCGCCTAAATATAAAATTTATTACTCAAATATACTACATTTTACCAAAATGTAAGGTTTTTGACCAAATATAATATTTATCAAGATAACATAGTTTGCTCGCATATGATATGTTTAATGCATTTATAACATGCTTAATCGAACTATAGAAATTTTTTGAGCTTATTAACTGTAAATTTGAATTTAATCATATTTATGCAGCTGATTTGATCCCAATTACTTTTTTTTTTTTTTTAGCATAGCATTATTCTAACCTTCCCATAACTTTGACACTTACATTTTACATTATGGGGTTGTTTGGATACAGGATTTATGTAAGATTTGAGCAGTGCTAAATCCTTCCAAACGGGCTTTAGGGAACTGTTAAATCTCACAGCGAGAAAAATCTTTATTTCACTCCTTTTTTCGTAAATCCCGGATTTACTAAATCTAGGAGTTGGACGGATTGAAGGGATTTTTTCGAAGAAGCGCGTGAAAGGAAGAAAGAATTTAAGGAAGTAAAGGCAAAATTGCTATGTTAATTAACATTTTGTGCAGTGCGTAGATGACCTTGATTAATTGATTGAGAGAATTTTTACTACCAATAAAAAAGTTGAATTAGAAACTTAGGACTCGTTTGATGGCGACATCGCTTTTCATAAGGCAGGGAAGCAGTTATTCAATAACCAGAATTCTCAGAAAAATTACTTAAGCAAAGTTACATCATTTTTTTTATCGGAGACGACCCAGACCTTCTTCATAGCTTCTTAAATGCCGATCAATTACCGAAGGCTCGAATGGATTAATTGATCTCCTAGCACTGGGATAGTTCGAGCTCCTCATACGGAAAAGTGCTTCTGAACGTTATTGTTTTACTCTGGTTAAATGCAGCTCCTTTCTAAAAATCGCATTATCTGTCGCTCTCTCTCACTTGCGCGACTGATCCCTCTGTCCCAAAACGTAAACCCTAGAAAAATGTCAAGGTTTATAATTTCCGGCACAGGCTTCTCAAGCATGGGTTATCAGAACGAGCAACAGTAGCCCGGCCGGACGAAAGGGGTCTCGGTTTACCATTTCCGGCGGAGCACGGACGACCAGCGGAGATGGGGCGGGGATTCTCTTACCATGATGATAAAGCCGTGGGATCGAGGGCCGAGAGGCTGAGATGAGTGGAAAGATCATCGCTTCTATGACCTCAAAAACCCTTCCTTCACCATCTCCAAGATAAGCCAAGATCGCACAGTCTTCCCCTCGCTGCAGCCCAAAAAAAGCTCCCAAGACTCATCTCAAGATCCTACGGCTTGACCATCATGGTAAGGAGAATCCCCGCCCCAAATCCACTGGTCGTCCATTAATGACCTGCTGCTCCGCCGGAAATGGTAAACCGAGCCCCTCTCAGCCGGCCGGACTACTGTTGCTCGTTCTGATAACCCGCTTCCCAAGCATGCTGAGAAGCCTGCAACTGCCGTCCTACGCTCTACATCTTCCCTTTCCAGAGGTAAAGTTGCTAACTTTCCTGGCGATGCCATCACTAGAATTTCTAGCTTCGGGGAAAGGAGAAGCTTTTCTGGATTTAGGACTTTTGATAAGGAACTGGCGGCAAAAGCCCAACTGGGTAAGAACCCTGGTGTAAAGAGTGAGAAATATGTGAACTTGAAGAGAGGAGTTACAGATGGTTGCAAATCTAAAGGGTGTTTGGGGGAAAAACCTCAGCGGAGTTCTTATGAGGCTTTAAAGAAAGTTGGTCGCAGAGCTGAAGAAGCATATATTGGTCCATCTGATTCTCAAAACAGCGTCGGTAAAGATTTTTCTGGTCCTAACATGGAGCCAATGGATAGGATTGGGAGTAATGAGGTAGGGGGTTTAGAAAGTCATGGAGAAAAAGTTTTTTTGGTTGAGGTAAAGCACATTGATAAATGTGGTCACTCGTTTCATCAGTCATCTCAGGGGAACAAATTAAGTGCTGTAAACTAGCTTATTCAAGGATGAATGGAGCCCCAAATATATATTTGATGGTTTCACTGATGAAAACCCCGTTGCGCTAGAGTTTTTGGCTTCTTTAAGAGAAGAGCAACCTAAACCTAGAATGTTTGATGTAAACGTGCAATTAACTAATCGCATGGCAAACAAAATGCAACCAGAGAATACATCATCAGGCCAATGTGATGCAAGCAGCATGATTAGAGGGCAGCAACAGGAGGTTGCACTGGAGTCTAATGAAAAACTTGAAGAAATCGGTACTCCCGAGAATAATCCTCCGTCAATGTCATGCGTAGCTACTGAGGATTCTACCATTTATCAGCTTTCTGAAATTGGTCAGAAGGTTTCAACTGGAGGATGGTTTGTTTCTAGAGGAGAAGCTGTTCTTCTTGCTCATGATGATAATTCTTGTTCCTACTATGACATTTCCAACTCTGAGGTACGTCATCTATAACAAAAATCCCTTGTTATTTTTTCCAAATTATTTTTTATAAATTAAAGTTCCATCAAAAAGTTATTTTTTGTTAGTTCTTCCTTCAAAGGAGAAATTTACTTTCATTTCAGTAGATTGTCAATTCATTTCAAATTGCATTTTCTCTTATGTATTGAATTTGACCCTAGGGACCAAGTACAATATTCTATGATAATCATATGTACCCTAAGGTTCAAAAATTGCTTATGCCTGTACCAGGTGAAGTCTGAATACAAGGCCCCAGCTGGCTTTCCAACTAATTTATGGGGTGATTGTTGGTTAATTCGTGCCCCTGGAATAGATGGATGCTCTGGACAATATGTTGTTGCAGCATCAGCAGGAAATGCATTAGATTCTGGATTTTGTTCCTGGGACTTCTACACGAAAGATGTTAAAGCTTTTCTAGTTGTTGGGGTGAAAGGATAATAGTTTCTCAGGCTCATCAAGTAGAACTGGATTTACTTCAACGGCCAGAAGTTTCCTTAGGACATCATCCTTATTGGAAAGTCAATCTTGTTGGTGCAGGCCATGTGGACCATTGTTGATCTCCACATTCAGCAGGCAGAAGGTTGTCAATGCTTATGATATTCGTGACGGTGATTTGGTAATGACATGGGAAGTGAACAATCCTGTTGCTGAAATGGAATACTCCAGCCCTCTCCAATGGAGAAGCAAAGGGAAGGTGATCATAGCAGAAAGGGAAGCCATTAATCTTTGGGATGTCAATTCACTCAATCCACAGCCTACTCTTTCTGTACCTTTTGTTGGCAAAAAATTCTATTCTCTTCATGTGAATAACACAGATGCTGAGATAGGTGCTGGTGCCATTTCTTTGGTGCCATTTCTTTCTATATCTTTTCATTATTTTTGTTCTCATATGTTGTAAAATTTGGACAATTTTTTGTCCTTTTTTTATTAAGAAAGATGCTTCTCCTCATGCTTGCTCATGCATAATTTGGATCATTTTCATTTCTACAAGTTTTAACATTTTCCCTCAGGTAGTTTTAATGATTTGGACAATTTTAGATCTTTATTACTAGTGCAATACTAAAAGTTTTCTCGTATTGAAAGAGGAAGATTAGTGGCTGTTTGATTCACTTACACATGCTTATTGGTTTGGCATCTTTAAATAACAATTACATACCTGACATTTGACTTATATTTTGATATCTTTATGTCAACTAAATATTTTGACTTACAGATGTTGATGTTATTGATTGTTTGAATAAATAATAATACAACGGTCATTCTAGATAATATAATATTATTTGAATAAGATGAAATTTAGTCAAGCAAATAGCATTTGATAGATAAAGTTATGTAAATAATACTTATTTAAATTACGCCGCTATCTAAATAACTTTTGGACCAAACATCGCAGTAATTTATTGAGCTGATTAAGCTTACATTATGTTTTTACTTGAAATGATGCACATCTACCAAAACCGTTAAAAATTAACCTGATCATTTCAAGAATTTTCAGCTTTGTCTAGACTTACAATGCTTGAGTGCAATCTGCTAAGTATTTCTATTTCTAACAATCCTTGTTGCATTTGATGCAGAGCAAGCTCTACTGAAATGGATGGTAATGACGGTGTTTTATGCACTCAGGATGGTGTTAATGTGTTTGATTTTCGAATTTCTTCTGGTGTAGGACTTAAGATATTCAGGCATGGTGGTGCTGATGGTCTCTCTATTTTCTCCCGCGGTGACTCCATTTTTCTTGGGAGCACTGAAGGAAGAATATTCGCGAGGAGCAGCAGTCCGCGCTCGCATATTGAGCATTTTTCGCTCCGTAAAGGCAGTCTTATCACCAGTTATCTGATGCCAGGATTTAATTCTCATTATCATCACTCTTTGATCACTCAGGTTTGGGGAAACTCAGATTTTGTTATGGGCATATGTGGAATGGGCCTTTTTGTGTTTGATGCTTTCAATAACAGTGGAGACACAGATGTGGTGAAGGATACTATTGGTCCCAATGATTTATTTCGTCCAACATTTGATTACATGGAGTCAAGAGCACTTGTTATATCAAGGGATTGTCTGGCATTTTAGAAGTATCTACTATAGATTTTGCAACTAGATTTATATGTGTGTGTGATTATCTTGTAGCAGTTAATGTCTTTTTCATGTACTTCAGTTTGAAAGGGAGCAGCTTGCTTCTTTGTTGTTGAAGCAAGCTGTAACCCTTTCATAAGGCCACAGAGAAGCAAACTGTTCCCTTTCAAACTGAAGTACATGAAAAAGACATTAATTGCTACAAGATAATCACACACATATATAAATCTAGTTGTTGCAAAATCTATAGTAGATATTTCCAAAATACTGGTTGATCCCTTAAATAACAAGTGCTATTGACTCCATGTAATCAAATGTTGGACGAAATAAATCATCGGGACCAATAGTTTCCTTCACCACATTTGTGCCTCCACTATCATTGAAAGCATCAAACACAAAAAGGCTAATTTCACATATACCCATAACAAAATCTGAGTTTCCCCAAACCTGAGTGATTTTGTGCTCGACTCCTATTAAATACTTGAGTATCTCTTCATAAAATTATGGAGCCCTCCAACATTATTTTTTTTAGAAGAAAAGAAACACAAACAAGCAAGGTACAATGGTCCTCTTTCGAGAGGACCTTCTCTCCCAATCCTAGACGTCATTAGAATCCCTCATGAAAACAGTGGACAACAAAACCTCACTAAATTGTTCATACAAAAATCATTACCTTAACCCTAGGGTAAATTGATTACTTAAAGCAAACAATAAACATCAAATACCAAAAGAGCTCTCAAATTAGGCCCCAAATCTAGCCTCTTCAATTAGAAAATATTTCCTAATTAATCCCCTTCTGAATGAACCCCCAAATATGCTCTTTTCAATTAGGAATTATTTTCTAATTAATTCTCTCTCAAATCAGCCCCCAAATTTGCCCTCTTCAATTAAGAAACATCTTCTAATTAATTCCCCTCCTAGCTGCTATTGACGAATATTTTCGCATCGACTAGACCCCGATCGAGCCCGACTAGGCTCGATCGCGCTCAATCAACTCAATTGATCATCGTCGAGGTGAAATTAATCCGAATTAAGCCTCAAATTATTTAAATTAAATCAATTTAATTTAATCAATCAAATCCAAATCCAATCGAGCCTCGTTAAATTCGACGCAATTCGGCGCCTATTTAAGTTCAATTTCATGAAATTAGCTTGATCGGACCCAACCGGACCCAAACCGACTCAAATTGGTTCGGGTCGAGTCCAATCCAGACTCAATTTCAGCCTTAATTTCTCAATTTGGGCTGAATTTGATTCTCAAATCAAAATTTGAGATCAATGGCTCAGATTTCATCTCAAATTATGCTCAAATTCTTCGTTACTCGCAACGAGGGCTCTCCATTGGGTAATTTGGGCGGTGGCTTTTTGCTGCTGCTTGTGCTCTCCAAGAGCACGCAAAGGGAGAGTTGGGGAGCATTCGGCTCCCCCGTTTGGTTCCGTCCCAGATACAGCACGGGAGAGAGGGAGAGAGAGCCGTTCGGCTCTCTGGTTTCGTTCGCCCGCCCCATCCAGGGGGAAGAGAGAGCGGGAGAGGGCAAGAGCCGTTCGGCTCTTGCTGGTGCGCGTCCGAGCCAGGAGAGAGAGGCCGACGAAGGTTTCCTTTCGTGCGACCTTGCCAGGGGGGGGGGGGGGGCAAACCTTTTCCCCCTTCCCTACCTTTTTTTTGGCGCTGAAGTTGAAAGAGGAGGAGATTTCATGTAACCTAGCTGTTGTCTTCTTCCTCTTTGGATTGAAAATGAGCTCTTCTTCGCTGCCATGGCTTTCTCCCTTCGATTAGAGAGCAGAAATCCCCTCTTGCTGCTGATAGTAAGCTTCTCTTCTAAAGTCTAGGGCAGAGACATGTTGAAATCAACCCTTGCTGCAGCCAGGAGAAAGCAGGAGGCCTCTACTTCCTTCCAAACTATCTCGGCATCCTCAAAACAGTGTAAATTGCTGTTTGGGGTGTTCTTGGACAGCAAACGGCTGTCCGGAGCAATTTGGACAGCAAATTCCTTCTCCGGAAAAGTTTGGACAGCGGGGGTGACATGCGGAGAGGCCTGGACAGCAACTACGCAGCCTCCGAAGGCTTCCTAACAGTGGAAACTGCTGTTTGGAGCGTTTGGACAGCAAATGACGACCACCGGAAGCTCTCAAACAGTGAAATTCTGCTGTTTGGAACGTGCAGACAGCGGCCACGCAGCTTCCGGGAGCCTTCTAACAATGAAAACTGCTGTCCGGAGCAATTTGGACAGAAAATCCATCCTCCGGAAAGGCTGGGACAGCGATGGCGACATCTGGAAGGGCTTGGACAGCAGTTTTCCTCCTTGGGAAAACCTGGGACAGCAACTTGGAGCCTTCAAAGGACCTTGGACAGCAACCTACAAGCTTGGATAGCGGCCTGGACATCAATTTGGAGCGCTAGGACAACCCGGGTGAGGTAAAATCCCAAAACTTAGTGAAACCTAGGGTCCCCCAAGGCCGTTGATGTGTGGTTGACGTCCCCAAATCATAGGTCCCTTAGAAACTTCATTGGTTTGCTTTCCCTAAACCTATGTGTGCCCTCTTCGCAAAACAGCAAAAATCCAGTGATTTCCGTTTGTTTGCTCCCTTGTGAGAGCCAAAGAGGCATGCCATATGCGTAGGGTGGTCGGATTTGTATCTGACAACCTCTCAAATGCATGTAATAGCATTCATATTGTGTTCAAACCGTCGCCTATAACAAACCTAGGCTTCGTCGTCATAGCACCCAAATTTGGAAGCTATGTATTTGGCCAAATCAATTGCATGTTGCTTAGAATTTAGATTATGCCAAAATTGATCTAAATAAATAGTGTAGGTCTCTTTCTCTAATGATTGCACACTTCTAAAATTATTGGGAGATTGTTAAGCATGTTCATTTAATTTGTAGGGCAAACTTGGGGTAGATGTGGGTTTCCAAAGACCCATAAGCCACCCTTTATGTGTTCTTGAATTACTTCAATATGCTTTGCTTCTCTTAATTCTCATGAATGAGAATGATGGTGAATGATCCTCTAGCATGCAAACTATACAATTTTTGTGTCATGGTAAAATTGATGTAAACTTTAGAGAGTTTGCATGTAGGAATTTATAGTCTCTACAAGTTAGTGAATTTGAATGTGTTTGGTTGGAAACATTATCACTAACAATCGATCTTTGTGGGGTTTCTCATAGATCCTCAAAGGTCTATGTTCTAGACCCCACAACGTCTCTGACCAACCAAATTCATGATTGATCTTTTCACTAAATTTAGAGAACACAAGTGATAGTCATTGTTGGTTTACATCCACCACATTTAGGATTTGGAAATTAACCAAATGGGCTTATCTAACCTTGAAGGGGGGCTTGAGATATGACATGGGCCCTCAAAGGCCCATAAGCCTTCATGCTCAAGTTTACCTAACTCCATTTGTGTGTGTTTCCAAATTCAATCATTGAATGAAATGATCAAAATCTTTAGAGATTGGAATCTCGCATCAATGTTTTAATAAATCAAATCCTATCAAAACGGATCTTTAGGACCTTCCTAGAAAACCTTCAATCACCATTCATGGCAAAATTAATTGGATTGTTCTTAGAAACTTTAGGTGTGTTTTCATGCCTTAACATGAGTCAAAATCGTGTTTCCTAGACCTCTTACTAGGAGCACCAAACTTCCAAGTTTCTAAATCATGCCAAAATTGGTTTGGAAACTTCCTCAATCTTTAGGAAATCGATTCTTCCCTCTCCTAATTGAGTCCAAAACACTCTAGAGGACATAGGAAAATTCCTTTCAAGCATGCATCTCCTCTTTACATGAGTCCAAAACATTCATGGGGAGATGGAGGATCCTCTTTCGTGCATAATGCTTGGAGCGTTCTCAAAGCTCCAAGTTTTAGATTGCATGAATCATTTGCAACTTGGAACCAACTTCCAAGTTATTTCATCTCTTCTTGTTATGACATAAAACCAATAAACCGTTTTCTTCCTCCAACCCCAAAGTTGTAGGAAATTATCAA